TTTATTAACGTTTATGCAAATAAAAATACTCTATAGATGTATATTGGTTATTATACAAATATTTGCTTCTTTTCCTCATCTCTCGTCAAAGAGATCTCCCCACTCAACCGTGAAAACCAACTGCGCATGCGCGATTGAACAAAGATGCAGATGGGCGTCCCGTTTTCTGTCTCTTTTTATGTGCTCACGCATTCTTAGCTGGCTCCTCTGTACCTTGGTTGCATATGAAAAGGCACCTTTATGCTCTCTGCACTCCGTCGCCTCCTTCCTTTTTCTTCCAATAGGCTGCGTTTAGGAATTCACGATATATCATGTTATCCTTGTTATTCACCGAATGTTAAACAAGGATAAAATGATATCTAGATGCACCTAGGCGAAGTTTTTGAATGTAAAAAAAAAAGTTTTTGAACGCAGCCATGTGTTCGTTCCGTTTCAAGTACAGAGAACAGAGAGTGCAAGAGAGTGCGGAACTCGAAACGCCGTCGGTGGTGGTCGGAGGACAAGCTTAGGTTAGATTTCCCATTCTGGCGGGAAGTTGTCATCAGCTGTCATATCGAGTTTCGTTGCGGCTGATACGTTTTTCGATCAAATCCTCGAGATGCCTGATTTCACGATTAATGATATCGTCATTAGTTTCCCCTTTAAGCCATACCCCGTGCAGGAGGAGTATATGAGAAAGGTGATAGAATGCCTGCAAAACAGCCAGCACGGTGTCTTGGAGTCGCCGACAGGTATACATGCGTTCATGTGCAATTAAAAAAAAAAGATTCCTGCGAAATAAGTAATATTTAAAAGGAATGTTTGATAATTAAAGACTGTTTTTCCAAAAAAAGTATTACAAGTTGTTTGAAACATTTGTTCTCAATTTGGGATTGAATTAAATTGTTCGACACAAAAAAATTGAAAAATTGAACTTAGATTAACGAGTTACAAGTATTTCCATTTCTTTTATTTTTTTCTTTTAATAATAATTAACAACATTTAGAAAGAAATTTGTGATGATTGGAATCAATTTTTTAAGAAAAAATATAGAAATGTGAATTTCGAAATTATGTTTGAAACATTTGTTTCTGCAATTTAGAAAAATCATTTGACACAAAAAGTTGAAAAATTTGAACTTTTAAATTAATATGTTTTATGTTTTCCAGTTATTTTAATTTCCTTTTTGTTAAATAGTTTAATTGTTTCTAAAGTTACATGATTAATTTTTAAATAGATTTTCAATTAAATGTTATAAATTTCACAGGTACTGGAAAGACTCTGAGCCTTTTGTGTTCCTCCTTAAGTTGGCTGTTGACGAAGAAAGCTCAATTACAAGCGCAAGTGATAGCAGGTGCAATAGAAAAGAAAGACTTTGGTGGACATTTTTTTAAACATTTAACCAGTGGACTCGAGAAAGCGGCAGGAGTACCGGACAATGTTCAGAGTTTTGGCTGGGCTATGCCCAAAATTATTTACGCATCTCGAACGCATTCTCAATTGTCTCAGGCTATGCACGAATTAAAGAGGACGTCATACAAACATGTGGCTACTGCTGTGTTGGGATCCCGAGATCAGCTGTGCATTCATCCTGAAGTTTCCAAAGAAACAAGTACTTTTAATAAAATACACATGTGCCATTCCAAAGTGAAGTCAAGAACTTGTTTTTATTTCAACAATGTCGAGGCCAGGTGGGTGTATTGTAATATTAGATTTCAAGCAGGAAAAGCAAGTAGCAAATATATTAATGTTTTTTTTTTTATAGAAAAGATGACCCTGTATTTAAACAAGAGGTGCTAGATATAGAAGATTTAGTAAAAGTTGGACAGAAGCACAAATGTTGCCCATACTTTTTGGCAAAGGAATTAAAGCAGAATGCAGATATTGTTTTCATGCCTTACAATTATCTGCTAGATCCTAAGACACGAAGATCACAGGGTATTGACTTACAAAATACTGTAGTTTTATTGGACGAAGCTCACAACGTTGAAAAAGTTTGCGAAGAAGCAGCATCATTACAGGTACAGGAACAAATTTGTTTTTTTTTTTAGCCCTTTATGTATTCTAATTGAATATTTCACATATGTATATTTACATAGATAAGTAGTACAGATATTGCAATGTGTATCGACGAAGTAACTGCAGTAATGCAAGACCTGGCTAAGAACTCAGATCAGCAGTGTGACTCTCTATCGGAGAATAATGTTCAGAAAGATTTTACAGCAGAAGATCTGTGTATCTTAAAAGCAATGTTTTTGGAACTAGAAAAAGCAATCGACTCCATTGAATTAAAAAATCGTACTGAGGGAGACACTTTTCCCGGTGGATATATTTTTGAATTACTTGAGAAAATTGAGGTAGAGATTTTTAATTTTTAATGAATTTATTAGAAATATATATATGATATATGTATATACATTATTATGGCGATGGCGATCATTTTTTTGTAACAGTTAACACACGGTAAGGAACAAATTGTGGTAGAGAAGCTAGACAAAATTATTTTATGTCTGACAACTACCAGTACTTCGCCATTTGCAAGAAAAGGGAATGCACTGCAAAAGTTCAGTGATTTACTGAGGACCGCTTTCAATAGCGGTGCCTCTATCGCGCGTCACAAGGAAAAAGTGAAACGTTGCTACAAAGTCCACATACAAATGGAAGAGCAAAAGAAGAATTACAAGAATGACGTCTGGGAGAGCAAAAAGACCACTAAAATAGACGGGAAACTTATTAGTTACTGGTGTTTCAGCCCTGGTTTTGGGTAAAATTTGTTTGATAAAAAAAAACTAATAATAATTATTTTAATAGTTATATAAATTATGACACTTTACAGTATGGAGCAGATGGTAGAACAGGGGATACGTTCAGTAGTGCTCACAAGCGGCACATTGTCTCCGTTAAAACCATTCATATCGGAGCTCGGTATACCAATCGCGGTCCAGCTGGAAAATCCGCATATAGTGACGGAGCAACAAGTGTGTGTTGGTGTGCTTAGTCAAGGACCAGATAACCATCCACTCAATTCATCTTATAACACAAGGTACCATGTTGCTGAATGTCGATAGATGAAATACTTGACTTGAATGAATGTCTTCATTATTACATTTTCACAGGAATGATCCAAAGTACATTGCGTCTCTCGGGAGAACAGTGTACAACTTTAGCTGTATCGTTCCCCATGGATTATTAATATTCTTTCCATCATATCCGATCATGAGAAAATGCAGGGACGAATGGCAGAATACGGGATTGTGGACGCAGATTGCTGAGCGTAAGGTAAAAGATATTTAGCGTACATTGCAAAATAATATATTTTATGATATATCAAATTAATTACTGGATAATAGCCCATTTATGTAGAACCCAACTCTAAAGAGGGATTTGTTAACGTGATGAATGAGTACTACCACAAAATTAAAGACCCGTCTTGTAAGGGGGCTATTTTTATGGCGGTCTGTAGAGGGAAAGTCAGCGAAGGTTTAGACTTTGCTAATGCAAACGGTAGGGCTGTGTTAATCATTGGTCTTCCATTTCCGCCCTTAAAGGATCCGCGAGTTATGCTAAAGCAAAGATATTTGGAGGAAATAAGGACTGCAGAAAAAGAAGTATAAATTAAACTTTAACTTTGCTAAAAATAATAACTTGATGATAAGACGTAATAAGGCTGATTAACAAATTTAATATTAAGAGTCTAACTGGGCAAGAGTGGTATCAACTTGAAGCATCCCGAGCTGTCAATCAGGCTATCGGCAGAATAATAAGACACAAGAGCGATTATGGCGCTGTTATATTATGTGATTGTAGATTTGAAAATCCAAACTTCAAAAAACAATTGTCTGCTTGGCTTAGACCGTACATAAGAAAGTTTACAAATTTTGGGATGATCACGAAAGAATTACGACAATTTTTTAGAAACGCGGAGAATACAGTAAGTTTTTAATCTTAATGTAATTATTAAAATATATAATTAGCGATATATTTTAACGTATCATCAATAATTTCAGCTGCCGCAACCTAGTATCACTCATGCACAATACGGAAACGTTGATATATCGTTGCCTGCCGTGGGTGCTACTTTTGAAACAACTGTATCTCACTCTCTCGGACAAAAAGCACAAAATAATTCTGCGGCAGAAGAATTGACAAAGAATAATTTTAACTTAGATATGTATCTAGATGATAGTGCAAAGGATAAACAATCAACGAAGCCACAGTCTGCGATTAATTTTAGTACTTGTAAATTAAAAGACAATCAGAGTACGCGCGAATTAGCGAGACATCGATTTGAAGAACCAGTTGCAAAAAGGAGAAAAATTAATATTGTATCACCTGGAATTGATTCGTATTTTTCTGCTCCTTCGACCTCGTCGTTAACAGTTCCCGAAAGTAATTCCACGCAAAATTTCGCACAAAACGATAAGGATATGAAAGACGATAAAAAGGCATTGGGAAAACAATATTTGAAAGATGTAAGTAAATAACAATTCAATTACCTTTATGTAAATCTGAAAAATTATATAATCTCTGTCTCTCTAAACAAATAATATATTTATAGGTAAAAAAGGCATTATCTGTGAATGATTATAAAATATTTGCAATTATGATACAAACTTATACGCAAAGTGGTGATTTTGACGAGTTATTGAAAACATTATCAAATTTATTTTCACCGACTGGGCAGCTACGGCATTTGTTTATAGGTAAGTTTTTCACATGCAATAAATTGAAGCGATGAGACCTAAAAAAAAAACAAATTATACGGGATTAAGAGTGAAAACTTAAAAAAGAAATATTTCTATTTTTAGGATTTCAAAGTTTTCTAAAGAAACAGCATATTGCAGTCTTTGAAAATTATATAAAAAATATAAAGTTGCCTTAGTATCCACATTTAGAATAAACGATAGGATGAAAGGGTAAATGATAAATGCATATATGTAGAGTTTAACTTTAATGTATATATATTAATTTTTTTAATATGAATTAACAAAAGGTTAAAAATCTGTTTAGTAATAAGTTTTTTTTTTTCAAGTTTATAAGCTTATAAGCTTGATTAGATCACGCATAAAACGTAAAATGATGCAGGCATCATTAGTGAGATCAAGAAAAAGTTTGACAAATGTGATAAAACTAAAGCATAATTTTTTTTACTTTTGTAATAATAATGTAAAATTGGTCTTAGCAATTAAAAACATCAGTATTGTAATCATGAACATACTTATATGCATTATTTCACATACACATTTATACTATACACAATAACTTATTTTGTAATCAAACATACTACTTTATTATTTCAAAAAACCTGTTGTTAAAAAAACACAAGAATAAAAAGACATCGTACACCACATCGATTTAATTAGTCAATCTATAATACACTAATCCTGTAAATAACATATTAAAAAGGAAAGAAAATAATTCTGTTACTGCTTGGCATTAAATGATCATGATCGTCGCAATTGTGAATGACAGTAAAAAATACAGGTATTTTTTTTATCTTGTTAATTATGTAATATGCAATTTGTGAATAATTGTCCACAATTAAATGGACATAAATGTGAAAAATTATACACTCGCATCTCGATACAGCGTGTTTTAACATAACGCTTGAAAAAAGATTCTGTATTAATAAAAGCGACGTATATCGAACGCAATTTGATCTATTGAGGAACTTGATTACTCGTTGCTACAAGATAGATCTCGATATGACATACGTTTTAAACAAGCATAGCGAGGTTCGAGTGTATGTAACATTATTTATAACATTTATTTCTTTTTACAATTCCATAGTATGTGCTCCATGTATCTCTTTATTATTGTCAACGTCGCTTTTCGCAAGCGCGTTTGCAACAATATCTTGGTAATACTCGCAAAATACGCTGCGATTATGCGAAACAAGTATTACAAATCGGGCAGCAATGGCCGCTAATTCCTCCTGCAACGAGGAGAGGCCTGGTGGTACTTGTTGGGGCGCAGTGGATTGCGACTGAATAATTTTCTGTAGGAACTGTCTAATTCGTAGACCTAAAATAACGATATATATTTATATCGTTTTATATATTTATAGTAAAAAATGTTAATCATTAAATCTATTTTTACACTCACTGACGAGATATCTGATCTTATGTTTCGTATCTATAAGATCGGTTATTTGACCTTCTAATAGCGTCTCCAATTCTGGCGACAACTCGGGAGCATTGACTTCCCGTAGTGTCGTTTTTACATCTGTTTTTACTTGTAGTATAATATTTGGCATTGCAGCTTCTAGATCTCTGTAAAACAGAAATAAAAATTGTATTAATACGTTTTGAGCACATAATATAAATTAATCACGAGCTATATACACAAATATGGAGAGCTATATGTGTATATCTTAAAAAATAATATATTTTATTATAACTTATTTTCATTTATAATCATTTAACATACTTGTTTGAATGTACAGAATCCAACAATGCATTTAAATGTTCCTTAATATTCTTCTTAAAGCTCGAGATCCCATGAATTGGTGCACCAATTGTGTTATTAACCAATAATATCACAGAACCGACGACGCTCAATCTACTGGTTATGTCACGTAATTCCAGAAGTCTTCCTTGATCCAACATCAATGTCTAAATGAAAATCGTTTTGTTTACAATAAACTTATCGAATATATAATATAAAATCTTATATAGGGTACAGCAGGGTAATTTAAATAGTGGAGTAATTTGGATAATAATAAGCATTTGCAAGAATTTTAGAAAAATAAGAGATTTTAAGATACATTTTTATTATATCAATGTCTGATATAATGAAATGTATCTTAAAATCTCTTGTTTTTCTAAAATTCTTGCAAGTGCTTACTATTATCCAAATTACCCCCACTGTACCCTATTTTACTAACATATTTCCATACCTCGGCGTCTGGACTGAAATCCCATTCCAGGAGATCGAGATACGCCTCTGTCAATAAGGAATGAGTAATTTGTCTTACATTATTAGTACCAGCGTTCGATGAACCTGTGACTTTCTCTGGATCGAAATGTCTCAGTAACCATTTTTCTGTGTATTGCAAGCCGTTCGAATTAATCTTTAAAAATTCGGCAAACTTGGCTTTCTCATATTCGATACTCGAGGCGATAATATTTGGTCTCATCATTGTGATGGTGAAATTCGCCAAGTCCAGTCTCATTAACTGCAACAATTCCATGACACCCTTGAACGTTTCCACAATGTCCGTCTGCTGCGACAGCTCTCTGATTTTCTCGTCTCTCACTGGCGCGCATATTTTACTCATAGTAGAGATTATGTATTGCCCGTAATGGTGAAAATCTAATACACCTTTCTCCGCTTGTTGCTTAATCAAGTCCAAGTCAAGCACTTCTCTAATATTTTCTTTGATTCTTGCATTTTGTGGCGGTACAAGTTCATCCAGTGACTGAAATAAATATAGAGAATGTGTTGTTGCATATTGTATGATGCTTAGATTTGTCGTCATACAACAAAAAGAGAATTATTACTTCTTTAATCTCTTTTATTAAAACCAGTGCGTGCGAATAATCTGGCGGTTCTTCGGCCAGCTGCTCTGCTAACAGATTCCAAAAAGCTTTGTGCATTATCTCTTTTACTCGCCTATGAAAACTACCGTCTTCTGGTTCCAACTTTTGCAGCTGAAAATTCTTATCTACAGCGATTTCATGGGCTAAGGCCATATTTTTCATTCCATTGGCAGCTTTAATAATTTCGTCAAAAGACACGAATTTTGGTGGTGACGCCCCTGTTAATCCACCCATCATAAAATTTGGCGTTGGCTGTCTGTGTTGACACAAGAAATATGTACAAAAGATAAATTATAATAATAACGTAATCTTCATATGAAACATTAATTATTCATAATGATTCATAATAAAGTGTTGCTTTTGTAACATATTCGGTGTAGACCTCACATACCTATTTTGGACTTCATTTTGCGCATTTGTATGTACATTAGTATCACAGTTCGTTGATGTACCAGCGTCGTTTGTATTATGCTTCTGTTCATCCTCATTCTCCATTTTTTGATTGCTGCATGATTACAAGGTTTTATATGAGTATTGTTTATAAATTAAACAAGTAGGAAGATGATTCAACTCAAGTTTTCAATATAGCAAAGATTTTATATTATTGAAAATTATATTACATTATCCCACGATAACGTAATACAGTTTGTTAACTATTGCATTTAGCTAGATGCCTATGGTGATATTAGATACGTAAAATTGTTTTATGATTAGTAACAGCGACATTTTATAAGTGTATTATTTATCAGATGAAGAATAAATACACACAAGGACCAATATGTAAATCAACTCCAGTTTGAAATAATCATTAAGAAATGAAAATAAGATGAAAATAAGGTTTTTAAAATAAGCTACACATAATTATTTCATCCTTGTTCAATATTGGAAAAAAACAAGGATGGAAATGGTTTCATTGTGTCATACTATGTTAACTATATGTCTCCTGCGGGAAAACGTCCATAATTTGTGAACTATTGCGTTTCGCTAAATGCCACACAGGGCAATATTAGAGGGCAGTTTTAAATTATTTTCGTGACAGCAAAATCCTATAAACACTCCGAGTTGTTATCGGACAAAGATAAACTGACCGATATAATATCGCAGGGATGAAATTTAACAGTCTCGTAGTTCTCAACTTGCGACTAAACAAAAGACAGCAAAGGGTCACACCCCATAATACTCCAGCACCGACCAAAACTCTGTTCCTGGCAAAACACCACCAAGTCACATACGTTCTTTCTAATTATTTCTCATAGATCGAAAAATAGTAATTATATATGAATAAATAAGTCACTAATTACTTATAATAATAATAATAATAATAATTGAATGTCACTTTGCAGCAAAATCTTATTATAAAATAAAAAGAAATCTTTTAAGATTCTCTTCCTAGAACAAAGGCGAGGAGTAACGGTCACCAGATTACAACGTAAACAAAGCTCACAAGCAACATACCTGTCTGGCATAGTGCTGAGTGTCGATGTATGTGTATATATGTATATATAATTTAAAAGACTGGCCGTAGCATGATCCGCACACGGGCTGTTGGTCCGACTTTAAGCGCGCTCCAAGACGAGAAGTAGGTCAACCTGTAACTATAAAAAGAACGTCCGTGATGCGAGGGAGTTCGCGAATTGCATTTCCTCGAGGAGTTCGTTGTTTACCGGAGGAATCGCGGGAGCGCAAAGGTTAATTCGGTGCGGTGCGACCACCGCAGGAGAAATCTCGTCCCGCTTCCTGTACAGTCCTCAGGCCCACCGGTACATCGGATCTATCTGGGAACGCGCGTGCCTGCTGGCCAGCATCCCGCGATGATCCGCGAACGAATTTGGAAAAACAGCTGTGAGAACCGCGCACCTACAACATCTCGGACTTGTCAGATTCGGCCGGAAGTGTCGCGCCGCTCCGCGCAGCGCGCGTTCGAACGTCTCGCAGGTGCACTTTGAAACCTGCTCCTGCTTGCTCCTTCGAATCGTATTTTTCTCCGTAAAAGCAATAAATATCTTGAAAATTTAGATAAAAAAAATTTGGACAAAATGCAAAAGCTGCGAAAGAATTTAGGTCTGTTCGTTTTAATCGCGTTTCCTTGCACTGTTTTATCTTATCCATCCAATGTCTTATAAATAGTTAAATTAAAACACGTATTAAAAATATTTCGAGAGAAAAGGAAAACAAAGGCGAAGTGTACAAAGTGCAATGAAAACAAAGAGAAAAAGAACCATATACATATCGAAATAGTTTAATTAGCTGCACTTTTTGTATTTTCTGTGATTAAAAAGATTAATATCCTGAATTTAAAAAAAAGGGAAAAGACAAGTATAAGATAACTAATTTGAATAATTTAAATTCACATAATATATAAAATTATAGAAACATGTTTATCATTAGATTCGTCTTTTAGAATATCTAAATTCCGATTAATTAATAATTAACTTATCAAATGTCAAATAAATCTGTATTATTGCTTTGTTAACATAGATAGAATTACTATTTTGTTGTTTAATACAAATATATCAAGTTTTTTTATTAACTTTTTTCTCTTTTAAAGAGATGAAATTTTATATAACGACGTACCTTTTAGTGAATTTCACGAAACGCTCGGCTCGACTCCGGATCGACGGATAAAAGCGGATGCGATTTGTATGCAGTTTAAATGGAGTCGAAATGGCTTTGTCGTACAAGTTGCCCTAATTGGCGGCGTGACTCACTGCCGTCTACCTTGAATTCGCGCCAAGGTAAAATCGTTTTTTATTATCCTTTTGTAGGAAGACAAACATTGGGAACAGTATATAGAAACATTGAAGTAGAATACACTCGTTTACATAGCAATTTCTATAATTTTATTTACATATAAATCCCAACACACATTCCTTCTTTGAAAGTGCCATGAAATCTAATTAATGGTATTCATGTACAAAGTTCAAAATACTTCACTACAGTAAAATGCAGCATTCTAAAAAATAGTGGAACAACATTCGATTTTGTCTTTTTCAAAAAACGTTGCAGCTTGTATGTAAAAAGGCATCATTGACAGCTTTACACCTACACCCCTCGTGAAATAGTATTAGTATTATAAAACGATAACTCTACAATAAAATATTGTTTGAAAGCAACGTACGGCGTTGCAGAAATTCTTTCTGACGTTTTCGATTAATACAAAGTGTTACATATCGTAATTATGTATTTAACATTTTTGTTACGTATTCGATAGTAGGGTACGTATAAATGGTACAAAATGAAAGAGAAAGAGACAATTATATCCTCTTCACAGATTGGCCGATTTTCCCAAGTAGTTAATGTTCATTCCGCATCTGCGCAAGCCGTCCGTCAATCTCTGAGCGAGGTCGACGTCCACCCGAGCGAAGTTTCGCACAGCTCGCTCGACGATGAATGTCGAGGCGTTGCGTAGACTTCCGACCATATTCTGCACCAGTCTCTCCCTAGCTGCCTCGTCGAGAGTCTTATTCCAGAAGGTCGAAGCTTGACCGAAGTCGTCCTCGTCTACGGGATCGTAACGGTCCACGTCACCGCTCGCGGGGAACGGCGGCGAGCGAACGGCCGGACATTCCTTCGGTCCGCTGAAGCTGTTCGGATAATAATTCGGTGCGCCGCCGTGATTGTTGACCGGCATGAAACCATCCCGTTGATAATGCATCGCGGAAATCGCCTATAAAATCAGAATATTGTATTAATCGAGAAAGTTACATAATAATTAATAAATATTGTATCTCACACATTAATCGCGAGTAATATGATATAAAGATAAAATATATATTAAGTTTGTGTACAATATGCAAATAGTGCAATATATTAATATAATAGCACTACTAAATATATTAATAAATTTATCAAAATTGAGTGACAACCTATATTATTACTAACTTAAATCACGCAATCATTAACTGCAGCTTAAATAATATCCGATTTTTAAAGTAATTGTTAAATATAATTAAATATAATTAAAGATACTGTGTAGAAATGACAATATTTTAATTTTTTTATATTAATGTGAGTTATGTGAGATTTATAAAATATAATTAAAAGTTACGAATTGTTAAAATTGTGCCATACACACACAAATGAGTAAAGTTTATTAAAAACTATGTTAATTATAAAATTTATGTTTTCCCTTGAAAGAATAAAGAATATCACAGTTGATTAGAACATAAGCTAGAATATAAATTAGTTTATTATAAAATTTGTCTTCCTTTGAAAGAATAAAGACTATCACAGATGATTAGGACGTAAGCTAAGAATATAAATTAGAACTATAATTATGATTGAAGAGCCTCGATCGTAAAAGGCGCTCTCAAATTTATGATGTTCACTTATGCGATCTACTTATTATTGTTCAACTTATTATTGTATACAATTTATTTTAAGATGTAATAAAATATTACCTTGTAAGGACAATTCACTGCTAATTGGAGATGATTCGGTCCCAGGCGATGCCTGTGAGTGTCGCCGTAGGCAAAGAGTCGGCCCTGCAGCATCTTATCAGGACTTGGCTCGATACCAGGTACCATGTGCGCCGGATCGAAGGCCATTTGTTCCACGTCGGCGAAGTAATTCTCCGGATTACGATCCAGCACCAGTTTGCCCACCGGTATCAATGGGTAATCCTTGTGCGGCCACACCTACAAAAAAATTCATATAGTTTCAAAATAAAATCTGCTACAATAGAATGAAGTGGATTAAATATATTTTATAATAATTACCTTTGTCAAGTCAAACGGATTCCACTTGAACATCTTTGCTTGTTCAGCGGTCATCACTTGGATATAGAGCGTCCAGGACGGAGACTGGCTCTTAGCGATAGCATTATAAAGATCTCTGATCGAGTAATCCGGATCGGAAGCGCTAAGCTCGGCGGCCTTCTCTGCAAGGATATTCTTGATGCCTTGATTCGTCTAAAATCATTATTAAATATTTATGATTGAATAGCTATTATGTGACTAGATTAATAATAATACATTTTTTATTTTAAAATAACACAAACCTTGTAATGGAATTTGCAATAGACCATTTCATTCTTGCTGTTCACCAATTTAAACGTATGCGAACCATAGCCATTCATATGGCGATATCCGTCGGGAATGCCACGATCGCCGAAGAGGAACATAACTTGATGCGTCGTCTCAGGCCTGAGGGAAATGAAGTCCCAGAACATGTCGGCATCCTAAAAAAGGATTTATGAAAAAAAAAAAAAACTTTATTAATATAGGCTTTGCAATATAATATGTAATATAATTTAGCTTTCGTAACGCAAGAAATATATTTTACATGAATGCATTTAATTATATTAGAACCAGTTAAATTATAATTTGTAAACAATTTAATTGTAAATTTGATCGTACCTTCAAGTGAGTCGCTGGATTTCTCTTCTGCGTGTGTATGAAACTCGGGAAGAAGAGAGGATCCTTAATGAAGAAGATCGGCGTATTGTTGCCCACGAGATCCCAAATACCCTCCTCGGTGTAAAATTTCACGGCGAATCCACGTGGATCTCTAAAGACAACAGAATGTAATAAGCAGACTGATAGTAATTAGATAAATATACGCGAGAATTTTTGCGCTTCATTTGTATTGCGGGTATTTCGCTACTCGAATTACTAATTAGTTACATTAGCTAAACAAAGTGTAGCTCAGAAAAGGCATGCAATTCTTGTGAATCATGTTCTCGATTGCATGACATTGAACGATAGAAAGTTACCACAAAAAGCATTTGAATGTGATATACGCGTTGTAGATACGCATACACATGTAACTAGAGCATAAAGACAATTCATGCGTATGTATTCTCTACCAAAAAAAGTAAAATTTATAGTGAATCGCATTGTATTTATTTCAATACTCATTGAAATCACTATTAATAATATAATCGTCATCGTATAATTAATAACATGTGTATTTTCAAACTTATGCAAAAAAAACTGACGCATGATGAATGTGCAAAAAAACAAGTGAAAGACGAAGAATTTTATCTCCTTCGAATATTCATTAAATCGTCTGCATCAGAGTTAAATAATATTCCATCATAGCATTGGCATTTTTCCTATTTATTACCTGACAGTGTCGGCAGAACCGCTTTCACCACCGACGGTAGAGCACCTTATAGCAATAGGCGTCCTCTTTCCAATGCTGGAAAATATCTTGGCTTTAGAATACTTGGTGATGTCGTGAGTAACTTCAAAGTAGCCAAACGCACCTAAAAAGGAAAAAAAAATTATAAAGTCAATGAATAGTTATGATAAAATTAGTAAATATCTATATACATAATTGCGTACCATAAATTTTATGACTAAGAAAAATGGATTTGTAGTAGAATTTCGAACATGTCGGAAGCCAAGACAGTTCCGATAATCAAATAATTCGTGTAATAAAGGTTTACTCGTTAGTTCTATTAATAGAAGCTGACGTGTGGAAAATTGAAGTACGTCGAGCTCTTATTATCTGAATGGTTCGGTTAATAAGAGCTCAACTATGAGTTCGTATATTTGAAATTGTGAGCACAAATTTGTTTATATAAATAAAATGAATAAACGAACTTCTACTGTATTTCATAATTATAATAAAAAGTAGCATTGAATATTCGTTTTATTAAATTGGCCAATTATAATAATAATCATAACTATTACAAATGTTTACTGTTTGACTTCACTTAAATCGAACTTCAAACTCTCGTACTCTTACACAAAATTTTGACGTTGTTGCTTTTACCAGATCAGTCTTCAAAGTCTTGATATTTTGAAAAGCTTAGAAAACTTAGAACAAGTATTTTTATTTAAATTTTAGAGACAAAAGCTTGTTCCAAATCACACTAAAATATCGATTCTCTAAACATTGATTTGATGAAGGCAGCATCAATATTCGTTAAGGTTTTACGTGAAAGTTTAAATTATTTTTCTCGATCATTTAAAAAAATTTATAAAATCAAAAGATGGACATTTTTAATAAGATTTGGTTATTTTTATATTTTATTAATTAATCAATTTAATAAAATAAATATACATTCTATGCTGCTTTTTATTTTAATTAGAAAATAAAATTTTTCTTACAATTAATAACAAAATTTATGGTATAACTATAAATAGTAAGTACGTAATGAGTATAATAATAAGCTGCATACTATACACGTTTTAAATATTGAAAAATTAGAAAACGTACCGGCACCCTTCGCGTGCACAACTCGTTCGGGAATTCTTTCCCTAGCAAAGTGTGACATTTCGTCCAAGTAAACGAAGTCTTGCAGCAACATGGGTCCACGAGGACCAACCGTGAGGCTGGCCTTCTTCTCGGCGATGGGCGCTCCATTGGCGGTTAATAATACAGGTGCCTCACCCTGCAAAAAATAAATTTAGAAGAATTTATAAGTGATCGACTAACCATGCAAAATAAATTTGTTTATAGCGCAGTTCTAAATTCTCACGAATATTGATAACTTCCATTAATTGTCAGCAGATACAATCAATTTCACTGAAGTGTTAAGAAATATCACAAAGTATATATGATCCTATTCAAATAAGAAAACGAACTTTTTAAACGAAAAATTTTTGTTTTTATATATTATTATTAATTAAGTTCTTTACATATGATATTATGATGTTCTTTACGTTCTTAAGTCTGAGAGATTTTACGGTGCTTGTTGAATTTTAATTATTATGCACATACATATAATTAAACTTAATTCTTTTAAAATAAAAGCTGACTCCCGTTTTGTAAAGATAATAAATAAAAATAGACAGGCCAATACAAGTTGCAAGGCCAATACAAGCAAGTGCAAACATCCACTACGGTTATGCGACACTAACAATGTTACAAATAATGAATTCTTCATAAAAAATGTAAGTAAAATATAGTAAATATAAAATCAGCCAAATTATATCTTATCAGCTCGTATTAGCTTGTCTATCGATGATTAAGCGATTTAGCAGCTGTATAAAGTTACACAATCGGAAATCTTCCTATGCGTCTGATTAGCTTTTTTCTTTTTTTTCCAAAATGCAAGAGAGAAACCGCGACGGACCGCACAGTCTTCGTTACTACTCATTTCGGTAATGGACAATCCACGAGCGAGCGCGAAAGCTTTTTATATGATAAACATTGCGATAAAATCCTAATATGATAAAAATAATCTCGCCCGTCGATCGTAGGATCAGAGATCCGCGCAAATGGCACTTTCGAAATCCTATATCTATCATCTAAAAGTCGGCAACCTACTTCGTCGCCCTGTTACGGCAATTATCGTCTACAACTCAAGTACTAGTAGTGACATAATCGCTGCACCTTAAATTGCTTGCAACGTTATCGTTTCTCTTTTTTTTTCTTTCTTTAGTTGCAAAACTAGTCTCGTTGGGTAAGCAATTACCGCAAATTATTTATCAAAAGTCAGTAGATTGATTCTGCATTAGGACGTGCTAAACGCAAGGTGTGCTGTATCACATCGTAACAGATGTTGTGTTACATAATGCTTCGAGAACGTTTACAGAATTATGATTCATCTTTCTGATATACACATAATTCTCTTTACATGATAAATATTTTTGATAGTTGTCAAAAATCATACTGTTAAATACAAGAATTTCCTTTCGTATCATGTAATTCCTGGTAAAATATTTTCTTAGAATTTTTCGCATTTTTCATAATGTCTATATTGAGAATTTTTCATAACTTCTATATAATTTTAACACTTCGAAAAAATTTTCTTTTTATAAATCGAAATATTTTTCGAAAAAAATTAAGAGTTCTAGAATTCTTTATATATGTAAATTTTAAAATATTCTAAGATTTCTCATTTTATAATATTTAAAAAAATTAAAAATACTTGTTTTAATCTTCATAAATTTAAATTATAAAAAATTTTATAAATATTATAAGATTAAAGATATAACAATTTTTTAATTTTTTTAGTAACGATATTTAACTGGTTTATTGTCAAATCTATTATTTATATTTGCAAAATATAATTGTTGTAAAATATATGTCCATTTCTCTTTTTTAAATGTATGATTATGATTATACTAATATGTTACATAATACGTTACTATTTTTTAAAAATGTCCTCTTAACGTAACTATTATGACAAAATTAAAGTGTAATGTATTAATTAAAATTCTGTCAAATAATTGATGTATACATATTAACATCGTATAACTAATAAGAATGCTAGCAAATACTAACCATGTTACGTTCTTTATGCTTTCACTGGATATTTACCTGTCAGACAAATATAAAAGATACAGATATTAACGTTTTAACTATACTGTAAATATACATCGTATTAACAACGTATAGATTTTTCATTGCACAATATTCAATAATAAGTTTCATTATACAATAATAGATTCATTGATAAATTATGTCATAATATTCAATTTCGTAAAGCACGTCTTAAGACTGATAAGTATATTCTTACATATAATAATAATACAAAGAACTTTTTCACAGAAATAAATTCAAAACAGGAAAGGCAAACGAGGAAGAAGAAAAAAGACAAAGTAAGTAGGAATAAAACTATCAATTTAGAAACATCGAAAAGACAATGTAATATCAAGTTTCATTAGATAATATAGTCAAGTAAAAAGGAAATAAAATGTTCAATTTGAATCAATAATTATAACTCTAAGATATTGGCTAATAAGTTAACAAAAAGATCCGTATTTTATCACTTTTATTTTTATCACTTCAGGAAGTGACTTTCAAGAACCCGTGCTACACCAAGGAGTTGTCGTACAAAATTGCGACTAATTTCTATTTTTGTACTAGTGGAATGTTGTTAATATACAGAGATATATTTATCATTTTTTTCTAACACTCGCCTCGATCTTAATCACACGATTCTATGGTTTAACAATATAAGCTTGACGAACAACGCGCACTGAACGTATCGCAACATCTGGGAACTTCTTTCTAACGTACCGCAATGTTATTTCAAATCGTCGTCGTCGTCGACTTGATCGTGCACTCGGCACGACACGTTGCTAACTCTTTTGGAATGCAAATTATGCGCGAATAAACGCACTTTTCCTTTTTAAATGTCTCAGACAAACCTGAATGCTATACATACGACGAGGTGTGTCGCGCCGATATCGCATGTCGCGAGATAAAGCGATTTTTTAAATTTAATCGACCGTTTTATTTAATCTGATAGATGCGTTTATAAAAATGCCGCTCGTCTGGATAATATTTAATTTGTCCGTATCTGCGCTTCGACATGCCACAGTGACGATGCTTCAAGTTTTCTCAACTGTATCTATATTAAAACATATATAATTTACTTCGTGAGACAGATCGTTCTAAATAAAAAACAAATTCACACTTCACGCGTCGCTTCATCGTATCTACGGACGTGATGACAATAGCAGTCATAATTTCTACGATTAAATATCCGAGGGTACACGGCGAAGGTCGCGAATCGCGAAGAGAATGTTAGCGCAGAGAAATCTCGAGTGCGCCGTGCGGTGATAAGTTGCGATTGCGAGTGGATCGTAAACACTTTACTTTAGATGTTTTATAATTTTTGCCTATTCCTCGGATTTTCTCGAACAGTGTACTTAAGCCCGGGGAACTTTTGCGGAAGACAACGCATGTATACATTTCATAGAGTTTCCGGAAGAAAGGTGAATAAATTTCAAGAATTCTTGTAAAACGCGCCTTATCGAGATAGTTACAAAATTTATATTATTTAAGTTATAACATCAAGAATTTTTATAATAAAATACAACTTGCTTGCGACGCAAGCCAAAGTGCTTGCGTCGCAAGCAAAGTTTTATCATGTTTTTTTTTTACTTAAAATGGATAATGTTTTATTATCACATGTATGTGTTATAGTCCAGTACATGATGATACGCCTCGATATGCGATCCACATTACTTCATATAAATAAACTGCGTATATGCATATTGATTTCCATATTAATCTTATCACGGCAATTTCATCTTTTAAGCCTCAAAATGATAAGTATGACATAAAGGTGATATTTCGTTGAACATTTTTAGGACACCGATAACCGTTTGAAGCTAAAACGTTTCAAAATACTTCAAAACGAAACAAATTTCTAAAATAATACGAAATTGGCTGAAGAAATAAAAAATATTCGTATGACTAATACCTCCCTCAAATAGGAGTTATATAAAATTTATCGCGCAACGTTACTGCGAATGCAATAGTGCGAGCTCGTTCTGCAAGTATAATCTAGCCTACAACGTAGCAAATATATTCTTGCGCAATGTGCGCAAACTGACGAATATCATTAATCACGATCGTGCAATTTATAATATCGACTTAACCAGAAGTTCGAAGCATATAATTTTAACAATATGGCAAATCGAATGTATTTGCAAATATATATTTTTAAATATATTCATAATCGTTAAATACCAATTAATAAATTTAATATCAAATTTTCACGTATATTGTATTTAGTGATGCATAAACGTATTTAACGCTTTTTTGCTATGAATCATTGATTACGTGGTTTACACTTGATTTATCATATGTTGTCCTTGTTACAATTTTTCTTTGTTATTATATAAATAAAAATGGCATTTCAAATCATGTGTGCATTGAATTCATTTTAATGTCCTCTATAATATTAAGAAAGAGTATTGAATGATGATATTTTAAAAATAAAACCTTGTTTTCTTTTTTGTAAAAACAACATCTTCGATTTTTTGTAATCGCAAGTTATAATTTACGTGAAACAAATAAATATTTACAATCTTTTTGTAAACTGTCGTAAATGTTCAAAAAATCGTGCGAACTTTTACGATATTTCTGTATATTTTATGAAAGTATTATTTATGATAATAAAATATAATCTTTATTACTTCTAGCACAGAAGTTACAGAAGGGATTTTATTTACATTTTTCTTATCTATATCACAACCTACAATCCATTCCTTCTATTTTTGGTATTAAAAAATTCAAACCATTTACCTATCTATAATTTGTAATATCTAATTATTAGAAAGTTATTAAAATAAGTAAATAGCATTCGTGAAAGCTACTGCGCGTGTGCACATCGGCGGTCGCGCAACTTGATGGAACGAGTACCTACTTTGAACCTTTTTGATAACTCGATGTATATCGCTATTATCATTCACATTTACAATACAAGCTCATAATGTATGATTGTCTTTAATATGCATATATAGAATTGTTAACGTAATGAAATCATGACAAACGTATATCTGAATATTTTGCATTCGGCATGGCAAAGAAAAATAAAATCTGGCGTTTTTAGCGTTTTTTTTAGTAGATTACTTAAAAAATTAATTTTAAGCAATTTCGGGACTTCTTTCTCGTGAAACATTTAGGTGAACCAATAAATAATAAATACTAAAATATGAAAAGTTTTAAAAAGTCGATATTTATAACAGAAAAATTTGGCGTAATCGATAACATAAAAATTTTAGCCTTTTTTCTTCAATAAAGATTACTGTATCAACAGAAGCATCGCTGTGCTATAATTAATCTTTGTGGAATTAATATCAAACTTTGTGGAACTTTTAGAAGGCTTTTCGAAGAATAAATTCGTGAATAAAGAATGACATTGTCTCGATTGTGAGAATTAAGATATGAAATTATAATTAAGTACAAAAGGATAGAAATAAACACAAGACAAAGGGTCTTGTGTTATATCGGATAGTATAAAATTTTCGGACTTTTGAGTTCCTTCACATAATATGTAATACGCGATTGTATATTGTGTGTACGTATACTTTATCTTGCAAATTATTTTTTGCTTATGCAAGAGATACGAATCAAAATGATAAAAATGGACAATTTTGTTTTCAATTTTGCGAATCGCAAAACTTAATCAAATGAATATATAAAGTGATTTGCCGAAGTACAAAGAAGGGGAAAGGGATCGATAGGCTGATAGATTTTAAAGCATTCGTTTTTTCCTTAGTAAATATTTAAACGCTAGTTTAAGTGACTCTTTAACAATGAAATATAAAAAGTTCTGCTAAATCAAGAACTTCGACGAAGTGAGCGTGTATCTAATGAAAAAACGCAAAATTCGATGTCGTTGATGTAGTTTTAATCAATTTTCTTTAGAATACAAAATTTACAGTATCGACTGAATGAAATTTTTTTCTATTTATTAACGTGTCGTCACAACTACTTTATTTTATGCGCGTATATACATTTCGGTGAACAACCTGTATGTAGGATAATGCACCTGGTCGAGCATGTTTACGATCCTGTCCGATGTGGTTGTCCCACTTTTTGACATGTCTTTTGCGTGTCACAGTGTTCTATTCGTCGCAATTGCCGGCAATTGTTATATAACAGCGCCAAGTAGCAATACCGTTGTAGTAAATATATACGTATAACGTTCGCAAATAATTCCCAAATAAACATACGCGGAATTTTAAATATCCCATATGTGAATTTAAGTATTTATTGGAGCGTATATAAAATATGGATTGTATAATTGAAGTAGATATTGGAGAATATATACATATTTATGCTTCAATATGTTTAAATTCATATCTGTACACCCATGGACAACGATTCGTCTGTTCTGTTTTAGATCTAATGAAGAAGTTCAACAGATGTCTTATGTGTGCCTTTTTTAAAAATCATATATAATATGTACTCTCTCGTAAAGTCATATATGTACATATATATGTACATATATCTATATATTTTGTGATATCCGATATATTCTCACATATATTATTTTTGTGATAGAACAGAGTAAGTATTTTTTAAACTTGTTTTAGTAGATTTAGCCATCTAGAAAGGATAAGGGCGACTTCGATCAAATTCCACTTAATCGGCTATTCAACTGATAAAATGATTTAGGCTCTACTTTCGTTTATTTGACCTCCAATAATATTGTACGGTTATTAAATTTGTCATAACAAAGGACTAGAAACGTAGGTGTTTAAAAAATTAGACCTAATTTCATCTTGGTACTTACATAAAATCAATTTTTTTTTACCAAGAAGTATCCTTCTCGAAACCATATAATCTACAAAAAAAGTCGGACGCATTTTCTATCAAATATTCGCGAATTACACTGCTGGTTATTCGAGGAACATTATAGTATTATTATTATACTATTCTATATATTATTTATTATTATTGTTATTCGTCAGATTGATATATCGAATTACGAAATATACGTAATTTTTCAAAATTTTTAATCCGCAAAATATTTTGATCGCCAAATTGAATCTGCTTTTTTAAATTTTCAAATTTTGACTGCAGACTTAAGCAATTTTAAAAAAATATTAATGTAATAAAATATACAAAAATATTAAATATTTTCAGAATATATTTATTATCTTTTCCAGCTTAAATTTTTTTTATAATTATTACTAATTTTGTGATTCACATTATTTTTATAATTTATTGTTACGTAACACAAAATAATTTCAATATTTATTCAATGTTATTCATATGTATATACATAATATGTATATCTCAGGAATCTAAAGATATCAAATATATATATATATTACACAAATCAATTATGAAATGAGTAAAAACATGGAAAAAGATTGCAAAAAGACTGGTGTCCTATACATAAGTATAGATCATACTGTTTAGCAAAAGATTAAACCACCCATGACTGAGTCTACTTCGTATATATAAACATTTCTAAGTTTCCAGAACTTTTACATCTCAATATCTCAGGTAATCGTGTATCAAACTCTAATTGTCAACTAATTAATATATTAATATATGATTCGATACAATATTAGATAAATTTTATTCAAGCAGAAGCAGCTAGAGAAGTATAAATTAGCTTCCATCAATTTTGTTTTTTTCGAATCATAGAAGTGAAATAAAAGAAATGGTATAGCTTAAATAGCATTTTTTTTTTTAATACAAGTAAATGTAATATTTTTCAAATATACATATATTTATCTTACATCGCTAGAATTTTACTTTCTACTAAAAGTTACGTGCGATTTTATCGCTCGCATTTAATGCGCATATCAATGAGAAACCGAAGCCACTGTCATGTAGACATGCTAATTAAGTCATTATATTATTCGCGACTCGTTCCTTTTTTTTGGTTAAAAATGATATGCCTCTTGCGCGCGAACAAACATTGCGCATATTGAAAAACAGCCAAGTCATTCTCGCTTCGATAATCATTCGATAGTCTCACGTACGCACATATACCTAGGACAAAGTGACGTGTTAAGAAAGATAAAGTACACGATCGTGTAGAGTCTGAAATAGTCGAGCTTGTTTTGATCTTTGAAGACGGCAATCAATTTTGCTTGACATAACGAGGATTGAGACGATTGAGCACCACTGTAACTACTGGTCTGATAATACATGTGCGAGAGAGAGACGAGATCTTACCTTAAGTTTTCTCTTGTAATCGTTCAGCTGTTCCGAAGCGGGGTCTCTCATTGGGCAGGCCATCTCGCCGGTTGATTTCTCGCAACTACTATAAAATCGTCTAAACGAAGATACGTCAAGCGCGGAATCGAACACGACGTGGTTTACAGGTACAAACAAGTCCCCCAGTGTTTTGCGGCGACTGGCCGGCGGCGACGGCGGCGAGCTTTTATCACATCCGTCGTGCCGGGACTGCCGGGACGCGGCGGCGGACGAGAACGATGATGGGTGGGAGCTCGTGGGTCTCGCGGCAACTTCACGTCGCTGGAGGAGCGGCGGTATCGTTCGAAAGAGCCGGCCGAAGTCCGAACACGTCCTCGGCATACCTCAGCTCGATCCACCGCACGATATCCTATGCATATATACGGCACAATCTGATTTTAGATATAAAATCTTAAGGACGACTTCGACCAACTATTTAATCGATTAATTTAATCAGATTGATTTATCAAATATATCTTTATTACTTTGCTGACATGGAAAGAATTATCGTTTTGTTATTTAATACACAGAGAAAAAGATTAGATCAAAGATAATGAATTATATAATTAGAAATTTTACTGTAAGCAATAATGTATACCATTGTTGAAATTAATCGCCGATCGATTCGCTTACAAATCATCTTTACTATTTTGTTAACATGAAAAGAATTGTAATTTAATTTATTATTTAATATATGGAAACAGATTAGAGCTATCATAGAGACGAATTATTAATTTAAAAAATTTGCTGTAAGCAATTCAGTCGGTTGAATTATAATCACCAATTAAATTAATTGTGTTATTATAAATAATCTTTACTTGACTCAAATTGATTTAAAGTCGCATTGTATTATACTTGTGTATATTTTTGATGACAGTGCAACTTTTTGTGAAATATGCATGTCTACATATATATATATCATCTGTTCATTATAAGGCATCGTATATGGACTTTAATCATAAACTTTAATTAACTTAATTTAACTAATTTGTTAAAATATATCTAAAAAATCTAAAACATATCTGTATTTTATTAACATAAATAGAATTAATTTTTTTGTTGCTTCAAAGTTGGGTCCAAATCGCCCTAAGTTTTAAATTTGGTTTCAGATATATCAATTATAACGATACACTTGGAGAGGGCTTAAGACAATTTTGAATATGTATAAGACCGGAACTACGAACACTAGCTATAGGTCGTTTGTTATCCGAATTTTGCGATGAAAATAGATCGGAAAATGGATCGTTTCCGAGAAGGGAAAACGATCTTCATACTTAAAATAATAATCTTATTTGCGTCGTTGACGTTTCATGTATTTTTCCCGTATGTGCGTATGTGTGTGTAAAATCTGCATTCTGCTGAGTCCACTTTTAAGCTTATATTATCACATTAATTTATGATAATTTATTTTGAAAAAAAGGAGTATGTTTTTACTTTTTTCTTGTCCAAAAGCGGGCGGACCTTATGCATGCGCAATTAGAAAAAGCAAGTATAAAAAAGATCGATATTATATTTTATTAAATGTTATGAATTATTTTCAAATGCCCTTTGCCTGTCTTGTTGATGATATTTTGTAATATAATTATTCATTCCAACATTATTTGCAGACGAATATTTCGTATGTTGCAAGTTGTGTTAAATGTAGATTGATCTTTGCACACACGGCCATTTTTTTATTTCAAAGAATATTACAATATGAAATTCTTTAAAATATGTATATGCTGTATAAATTTTATGCTATATAATCTGATTTTGAATGACTGCGCTTATTGTTAGCGGCAATAATTAAATACCTGCAAAATGAAGCAAATGGATATTGAAAATAAAGCAAACAGAGCAATATAGCTCTAATTACAGGTTAAATAACGCAAATAATTTGCACTTATAATACGCATGATGAATGTAACATAATGTAAAAAATGTACCTTAAAATATATATCTACGTGTACTGAACAGACGTGTACTTATCACTGTTTGTTCAGAGTGTCATTAAAGATAACAATATTATATATACTCACGAGTCTAAGCGAGTCCGATCGAGCAGCTTGACAGTTCGCTGCAGTTACTATAGATTGCATTTTGTTTAGTAAAAATAGAACTTCATATTCTTCGCGAAACTTCGCTAATTGCTCTGCTGTGATTTAAAATGAGTTCAAGAAAATACGTCATAACAAATCTATAAACAAACGTAACGGAAACATCAATATATACATACATATAAATACAACTTATATAAGTACAACAATATAAATACATATAAATAAAACTTCGATCTTCTAAAATTAGTAGAAACATCTTAATCATAAAATTAGGAAAGCGACAAAAAAAATAAGCACTCCTCCGAGTTTTATTACATCATAGAAAATAGGTCGAGTGCCACACATCAATTGTAACGATGTAAATTACTTATATAAATATTCTTCTTTATTTCAGGAGAGTCAGGATAATGTTTGTATGCATTAATTCCAGCGGAGCTACGGGAGAAGTTAGCAAGTGATTTAGTTCCGTAACTTTGTTTATTAATGCCGTTACAACGCCACCTGAGCCAGGTACAATTCCGAGCTCGACATTAAAAGCCGGCTCGCACGATAATGCGCAGCCCTCATATCGCACGTCTAAAAATTGCCATCTAAATCGCACCGCTTTTCATGGGAATTTACAAAATTTCATCAGTCCGAATATCAATTGGCTCGGCCGAGAGTTATAGGGGAAAAGAAGAAAAGAGCAAACATTTCTCTTCGAAGCATAATCTCTCGTTGTAAATAATACGAACAACACGATCACCGTTCCACTTCTTTGGTAGCGTACTAAAGGTGAAGCTAAGAGAATAGAGAAGACAGGTCTTACGTAATTCTGCTCGTCCGCGAAAAGAAATTAAATAACAGATCTCTCTATAACGACGCTATATATAAACATCTTATTATTATTTACATCATTGGCGAGTTGCTCCTAATAATCGTGTAAACCGCTACGTTTCGCCGAGCACAATCTAACGATGCTTGATCCAAGGGGAGAGAAGATAGGAATATATATATATATATTATATATTATTATCATTATGTTCGACACGATGTACGCGAATAAAATCGATTAGGTCTGGAAAATAATATACTCTCCGACGGAAAATTAATATTACATTATGCCTAGAAATCTGCCTGAGTTCGCACGCACCTTATTGCATCCTCTGCGTGCTGCGTGTATAACGGCGACTGAGAAATATTCTCGCGACAGGTACATAACGCGAAGTTTACTTTGAACGTATGCTTTTTATTTGTAGCAATGTGGCAACGGCAGCTTTCGAAACTCATCCTGTCCCGCGTTATAATATATAGTCGTCGCATTATCACAATGATTAGTTGAAATAACGCTACCACCTCGTCATTCGTAAAACGTGATACTCTAAAATGAACACTCGTCGTGAGAAATGTCACCGCGGCACATGTCACTTAAACAATTTGATCCTGACGTACGCAGGCTTAAGTTAGGGAATGCGCGGCTTAATGAGAAGCGACAGGGTCTATTCTCCGTGGCTGAACTACACGCGCGTTGTACTTGAAATGAAATAGATATATTATATTTGAAGTTTAGCGAGAAAGAAAATTTGCGGTCTAGTGCAGCGACAAAGAATGAGCCTGAATGATTCCGAGTTGCGTCGACAAAATTTATAAATCTCCCCCCCCCCCCCGAAAATTCTGCCCATATACATGCAAGAAACGAGTCACACGATGAATGATTGCGCTATGGAAGAATACATGACAACTGATTCGTAATTCAGAAAAAACTCATGATTTGCTACCATCGTCTTTCGCTCTGCTAATATGAAAAATCGTGATAATTACTTTGGGAATTATTAATGTACTCTGCTACGATCGTTATATTAGTATATCTAGGTGTAGCACACAATTAGTTCGCAGCGACGAAAATCGTTCGCTCGAATATCAATGATTCACAATCCATAATCTGATAATCCGTGATCTGACAATCTGCCGACGACACATGCAATGTCGCATTGCAGGTTGAACCGTCCAATACGTCACGCTCGTCTGTCTCATCCGTAGGCTAGCCGTTGATCGACATCGGTAAGGGACATTGCACTTGCCACACAATCAGGTGACTTTGTTCACCGTGCTCTTCATTGCTGATCGTAGTATTCGATCGGTCCATACTTTCCTCCGTCTCCTCCCCATCACCTGGAAGATAATTAAAATGTGTAAATGTTATTAGCTGCGAAAACAGATATTCCCAAATGAGAGGAAACAGGCATAAGTCGCGTTTTCTACAAGATAATGCATGATAGATGGAAAGCCCAACCCCCAGAGAATAAAAAATGATATATTATCGCTTTTAAGAAGTCAGAATATTAAATCCTTCTTTTCATATACTTTTCCTTGATCTTTCCTTGATCTGGTGTTTGCACATGTGCAATAAATATGCAAGCAATCTGTAGAAATTTGAGATACCTCACATACACACACATATATATATATATATATATATATATATATATACATGTATATTCAATGTGCAAAGATTATAGAAATAATGTTAGTCAAACTTTGTTCTACCGTGCAACAGTGAGAAGTATTGTTCTGTTAGTAAGTAGCAAAGGATGCACCGATTAATAGTGACATTTGTCAGGACAGAGAAACAAATTCATTTAAATTGAATAGAAATAGAAATCGATCACACTTCTTGCTTCTCTCTGGGGGCATACCTGACCATCTGCCACACAATTAGGTGTGTTGCCACATCACTTTCGTCTTCAGCTTCATCTGCTAAAATTGCAATAACTTATTAAACTCAAAATTAAACTCAAAGACATAACTCATAGATCTTTAATTTTCGTATAACAGAAAAAATAATAATATAAGTTTATTTCATCTTTTATAACAGTTCGCATTTTTTTCGGAGTTCATTTAGGATTTGTAATTAAGACACCATACCTTATAAACATTACAAAAATTTGCTTACCAACTCTAAAATCGATGTAACCCTCACCACCAGAGAGAACGAGCATCGCAGGTTGCGTTCCGTCCGTCACCGCGCTCTGACCACCATGACCTGAGAAACAATTTGATTGAAAGTTATTATAATCTCTTGAGAAAAATTCCATATGAAAAAAATCAACAGACATGTAAATAATTGCGAAACTCACCAGGTACAGCGACGAACATTTTCACAGCGTCTCTGTGTCCGTGAAAACTGAGCTGCGCATGGGCCATGCTGCAGTAAGGTATAAAACTTCCCGGTGTGACGCCCCGTTCCGACGCGAAGATCCTAACGCCGACTCCCGGCGCGTCGCTTTTGTTGCTACCTGTCTGCGCTCTGGCTACCGCCATCGAGCCACCCGCACCTACAACACCCGGGTGTTACAGAGTTGGCGAGTTATCACTACGAAGACATCACGTGCCGTTTTTTCACTTACTTTCAGACAACGGTACCGAGATTATCACTCCGTTGCCAGTACCAATCCACAGCCGATTCGAGGAAATAAGCAGAGCGGTAATGCGAACAAAAGAGAATCCAAGCTTTCCCGTACCGAGCATCTTACTGACGTACGGTTCTATGTCAACGTCTTGAAGATGCTGGTAGGTGTGAGCATGATAGAGTCTTAACGTCGAGTCGAGTCTGATGCTGACCCACACACCGTCACCCAGCCACGCCAACTGTCGCACTTGAGATTCTCTGCGGGGATGTGCGTCTACTGTGCACTGTAAAATAGAAATTTCAATTTTATCAATTTTTTAATTAAAAATTTTTTAAATACTTAAGATACTATATCTTAAGGCTGCGTCACACGACGTATGATTTCTTGCATGATGGGCTTGCATGCTGCTGTGTCTGCTCTGATGCATGCTAGACATCTTCACGCATTGAGCAAAGTATGCATCCTTGATTTCTGACATTCCTGTGTTTGATATGTGGTGCATTATTTTATTGGTGCATGCAAGGGATCGAGGCATAAAATAATGCACCATATCAAACACAGAAATCAAAGATGGTAGCATACTTCGCTCAATGCGTGAAGATATCTAGCATGCATCGTGTGACGCGGCTTTTAGTGCTAGATCTTTTTAAGTACTATTTTCAATTCTGTACCTCGAGCGTCATCGAAATAGGATCGATCACGTGAATCTTGTTTCTGTAGCCGCACCATACTGTTTTTCCGCTAACTGCGGTCATACATCTAATGGAATGTTGAGGGCTACCGAGTGTAATCACATGATATTGAGACAAATCCCATTGTCCATCAGCGCCTCTGCGGAATATCGTTACAGTTCCATCCGCCAAAGCAACCAAAACTCGGCCTTGCACGTGTCTAATGAGAAGAGAGGTTTTTATTAATCTCTTATCAACAAAATCTTCCAATTAGGACCACAGCATTAAATCATTAAGCTGTCGCTCTTTAATTAAGTTTTTTTTTGTATGCTATGGTCCTTTATTCGATCCAAAAGAACTACATACACAATAGCTAGCGCTGCATCCTTGAGCTTCACGGAGTGTAGACACACCGACCATTTAGCAACGGCTGAGTGAACGAAAACTGCACCATTTTGTGCTCCGAGCCACATGGTCGGTTGTATGGACGACATCTTCTCAATGGATGTCTCCTCCGCGACTTCCTCTTCGTTCTTCGCCTCTTCGTTTACGGAATCTTTGTCATTCGCTCGCGGAGGATGAGCTTCGCCGTTGCACCGCACGAAGTTTACCTTTCCCAAATTTGCGGTCTCGCTGTCTATACTTTCCAGACTTTGCGGTTCGTTCGTGGAGTTCTGATCTGTCTCAGCAGACTTCTCGGTATTCTCGTTCGCCTGATCCTCCGACTGATTGTCAGATTCACTTTTATTTCTATCGACAACAGCCTCAGCGTTCTGATGATTCCTCTGCTCGACGTTCTCGTTCGCGTTCGTGACATCCTCACAGACACCGTTGTTGTTCTCACTATCGTTCGTCGCGCCGTTCGAATTGCGGATCGAGTTCTCGTTCGAGGATTGCGCGTAATCGCTCTCTTTGGCACCGGGCACGCTCGCGATGCAGAGCAGGTGTCCCTGGCATACGTTGAATACCTCCAGAACGTCCGCCGGGTTGTTGGCGTCTATCACCGTGACCTTGGACATCTTCTGCGTCGAGGTGCAGATCCAGACGAGCGAGCTGAGCTGTTGCTCCCATCGTTCCGCTTCTAGCCGTCGGTTCTCGCTCTCCTGAAGCTCCTTGTCCAAGTGCTCAACGGCGTCCTCAGCCTCTACCTTCGTGTTGCTTTCCTGGGCCTCGGCCGCGTAGAATACACTTCCGCCGACCATGCATCCGCCGTCACGCGTCTTACCGCTGCTCAGATTCACACCGGCGCCGCACCAAATCTGACAAAAACAACAATAATTCGCTTATCGACTTCGCTTCAAAAAACGAGAGAAAATATAACCTTCATCAGGATTGCCACAAATTCTTCATTCTAAAATTCCGTGACTTTTCTCTGATTTCCAGACAAAATTTCATGATTTTTCCTGACTTTCAATATTAAACAAATTTTATTGTATGTTCATCTTGATTTGTGTGTGGAAACTATTTAGAAACCGTTAATATTTTGTTAAGAGAGTAATTTAACATAGCAATTTAAATTACTATTACTGTTGTTGACATTGTTTGCACTTAATTGTTAAGTTGTTAATATTCCTTTATCTTTATCTTCTAGATATGCGCACAATTATTTTCCTCTCCTTAGAATACAGAAGGAACATGTAAATATAGTTTCTTTCTGATAAAAACTATATCCTGTTTATTGGAATCTCCGACTTGCTATTATACAAAGGTTTACAGACTTGAAAGAAAAATTACAAAAGTATAATTAATTAGAGTCTAATTTTAAGTTTTAATTAGAGTTAATTTTAATTTTACTAATTTGTTCATAAGTGACACAAGAAACTTACGAGTTAAAAAAAAACAGTTTTAAATAAATTTAAAATTCCAACAAAAAGTAAATAATAAACATTTTACTTTTAAAAGATTGAAAATTCTAATGCTCTTATTGTTAGTGAAGCATTTTATCTCTATTAAAGAGAATTTATGTTTGCTAACAAAAATATATAAGTGTGTGGTATATACGCATATTAAACTTCTTTAAAGCCAAGAATTTTAATTTTCTAGAAAATTTTGTAACATTCCCTGACTTTTCCCTGATTTTCAATTTCGTGGCAATTCTGTTCACGCTTGGTTCGTACCTTCATGCCTGGTTCGGTTTCTTGCAGGGGTCGACAGTACACTGGAACTGGGACAGGAGGTTGTCTGACGGGAGCGCTCGGCTTCCCTGGTAAACTCCATCCGTAAGCTTGCAGACGACCGTCCTCCTTCTTAACGTGCGCTCGCACCTGACGATACTGTTCTCTTCGCTCGCTCGCGCGTCTTGCTACGAGCTTTTCGGACGATCTGCAAAGATGACATGAACGAAGCGTTAATCGTCGTACGCTCACGAGTTTCGTGGGAGAAGGGAAAAAGACCGCAATTTTTCCGAGTTAGCGAATTGGTAAATTGCGACTGTTGACTGTCCGTCCAACCACTCCATTTCACCATCCATTTCACATTTCCTCCGACCATTTTGGTTCCATCTCCACTGATTCTCACAGTCGACAATAGTCTCATTCTTGTAAATTTTTTGATATATAGAGTACGTATGTTAGATACGGATATATCTATGGGCTCTCTATCGTACTTCTTAGAATCTGATGTTGAAGCGGAAAGTTAGAAGAGTAGAGCGGAACAGATTTACCTGCTGACCAATAAGCACCCCACCCGAAGCCAGAAAAACCAGGTATCTCTTGACAACGCCACGAGGGAGAGGCAAGGACGAAACCCGAACAACAAAAAGACCAAAAGCGCAGTAACAAGAGTGAAATAAAGGCCAAGTTTATAACGTAATCAAAACTTCATTTATTTCTTTCGATCAATAATGATCGCATGTTATTTTTTTTTTCCAGAAATTGTACAAATTCGTATTTACAAAATTATGTATATCTTTCTGTTCAAACACATTACTGTGAAAAATTGATCTATCCATCTAATAGTTTAATTAGCGCAATTATTTGCACTTTTATGAGCAATATACACATTATCATAATATATACAAATCATGCTAAAAACTTGACAATAAAACTCGATTAACGGATAATTTGATAAAGGAATTTGAGTAGAATTAAATGTGATAATCGAAACAGAATGGGAAAAAGAATAATCTTGATGCAAATCTCAAGATAATCTTGATTATAAAACGCTGCATTATTTTGTCATTTTCATAATACGCCCAGATCCAATAAAGTTTTCCTCTTCAGATACTCGAAAGCCAAAAAGGATTACAGAATGAAGCGAAAACTTGTTAATACATATACATCAATGCGCGCAAACTCGCCAGTAAACAGGCTAAAATTATTCAGAAAAGACTCACGTCTCTTTAGCAATTGAGACTAATATCGTGAATCGTGACAAAAGATTATGGATCCCAACTGACCAAAGAGGATTCTAATCTGCAAAGATGAGCAATTCAAAAAGTTATAACTAAATTTCTTTTCTATAATTTAGCCCCACGATTGATAATAAAATTAGTATTACCTTTTGTATGTTCGTCACTATGACATGTGATAACAAAGATTATCAAGATCACGCGTTGAATTGCAGCCTATATGTAATATTATGCTCGCGAGAGAGATATTCTCCTTGGAAAAAAAAATGAACTCAAGGTCGTCAAATAATGATTAGATAGAAAGAAAGTATAAAATGACCAAGAAAATGAGAATAAGATCTAATGAATTAAAATTAGGCAGGTCTCGATGTGTCAAGTCGACGTAACATATCTACGTGCATGTAGTAAAATTTGATTAATTTCTCACATGGTGTCTCCTTGGTCGAGAAAGTCTTGGCGACTTTTCAACGTACGTCTACGCATGGCATCCAGGGGTGGGGCTGGAACGACCTGATTCGCCGGTGCGCTGTACCGCACGTGCGGCAGTGTGTGCGCGGAACGCACTAACGTCCCTCGATCGGCCGGGCCTGTGAAGAGATTGCTAAAACTGAAAAGGAAACGGACGGATTAATCCTCTTCTAGTCCACTACCTTCCTTGCTCCCGTTCGATGGATATTGACAGACACGTACAACTTCCACACTGAACCTTTCCCGCCCGAGATACTGGAAGGATCGGTCTTGCTGGCTCTTATCATCTCCGTCCACCTGACAGCCTCTTGGAGCTCCATAAATCGTTCCTTGTATTGATTTCGTTCCATGAGCACCCTTGCCATCTCCACGCGCGTGAATCGCTTCCTCTGGGACAGAGGTACATCCTCCTCGTCGTCGCTCTTCGTCGCTTTAGCTGCCGCTTCTGCTTCTTCCTTGACTTTCTTCAGTTCTTCCTCGAGGGCGGCAATTCGTTGCCGCAGTCGTTCACGCGCCTGCTGTAAGCCTCGAACCTCTTCTCGTAATATTTCTTGCTCACTGGAATGTCAAAGTTTCTAATAATATCTAAAAGTTATATCGGTGTTACAATAAAAAGAACTTAATAATAACCTACCTTGTCAATTCATCAACTTTGACAATTAGATCATCCTTGACAACGTTAAGTGCATTTCTATAAAAAAATATCTAATGTTAGAACTACTAAAGTATAATATACACTAAAGATATGTTACTCTATTAATAAAAGTACTAAAAATATTTTATTAATAAAATGAAAAACTTACTTTGTTGCTAGCAATTCATTGTTCTCCATAATAAGATTTTCTACTTCCTTTCCCATGCCTGTAAAAAAATAGATAAATTTATGGTAAAATAACAAAATACTTTTCTTTTATAGAGACCAAAACATGTTACACATAAACATCGTTTTTGTTTCTTAAGATTTATATTTAAAACTTCTATTTTTTAAATTATTAAAAAAATACATGCATAGCAGGTAATTAAGGCCAGTTCCATTTTCAGATAAACTATGTGATAATTTATTCATTAGATAAGAGAAATAAGAAGCAATGTATGTCCATTGTAATTAAAACTCCTGATTTTTATTCCTAAGTAATTATTATATGGGAAGCATGTTTTTTAAGAATGATTGTTCCGTCAATAGATCTGGTGTTATTTATTGAAAAAAAGAAATATATCGTATATCGTACGAAAAAATATTAATAGTATATATATATCTTACCAAAGAAGTTGTCATTGACTGCATGTAAGTTAGTATCATGCAATCGCACGTTGGAAGTACGACGTGAACCAGCATAGGATGGCGGTGGCAAACAATGAAACACAATGCAAAGATAATACAAGTTAAGGAAACTGTTAATTCAAAAGGTGAATGAATTCAAAGGATGAATGAATAAATATATGTGTGTGTACATATCACAAGAGTCATGAATGTACATGTCAAACATACCTGATGAAGCATATTCTCCAGGATGTACAAAGGTTCCTAAAATCACGAATATATCGATTAGTTTTCCAAAAAGACAGAAAAAAACGAGCTTTAAGATAATATTCCCACGTAAAGTGGATACAGTACCGGTAATATCTGCGCCCTCGTCCATTTCGCCCAGCGCATCAGCGTCTTGAAAGCTCAGTTCTTGATACAGCGTATTGCCGCTTCGTTGCTCTCTCTCAGTTCTGCTTCTCCCACTTGGCGTAGTCGCTAACTTCTCTATACCCGCGGTCGGCGTCGTTGGCGTTATTAAAGTTGGCGGCATTTCCGTTTCCGGACTTTCGTCTGTGTAAAAATATAAAATATATCCTAATTCGGAATCTTTCTCTCTCTCTCATTGCAAAGAGGAATTTAAAAGATATACTGTCAAACGTCAACATACGTCTAGATATAGCGGTAGTTTTGTTTTCTTGTACTGGTTGATCGGTTAGTTGGCTCTTGTCGGATGTTTCGATAGCGGCCTCGATGCTGCTGTCCAACATTTCGGTTCTCAGGTTGGTGACATTTGGTACGATATCTACCTCTTGAACATCCTCGACGTTTATACTAGCTTCCAAACTCTGAAAGCCATAGCTAAGCGGTCCGGAGCTACGCGACATGTGAGCAAGTCCGAGGGAAGGTAACCGCGACGGTGCACGGCTGGTAGATACACTCTCCAGTCTTTCTGTACTACCAACCAGCATTTTGGTCCTCTCCATGTAATCAACATGGGTCTTAAATAATTCCGTGTATCTGTCGTGCAGCCGGGAATACTCGCGTTTCAATTCAGCTTCCTTCTCCTCGAGGCGACCAACTACAAAGAAATGTGAATACTTAATGGTAAGCGCCGTAATCTGTGTATATACGAAGCAATTCTGAACATGGATTGGAAATTTATAGAGCATAGACATTTTCAAAACATGTAGCCAATGGTATTTGATATAAGCAAGAGATTTTCAATTTAATCATTTACTTTGAATAACAAACATTTATGATGAAAGTAGAAAGAAAAAAATAATTATCCACTATAAAGCATTTAAATGATAAATATAATATATGTGCCGTAAATGAAACTATATATGAAATAATATAAGAAAAATAAAAAATGAAACAAAAGCAAAGAAACAAGAAATACAGTAAACCTGCACCCTGTGTTCCTCGCGCAACCCCTACCACAGAGTGGTATACAAAAATAAATATAAATAACAAAACAAAACAAAAATAAAACTTCTACTCTACTGTAGAGGGAAGAACTGTGAATGGGTAGACTGGAAGCGCCAATGGCATTTGTACCGTGATCATGAGAGTTCTTAGTCTTCAGTTCCAGCATTCTTACGATAGATTCCAAGCTATCAATTTTCGACAGAAGCTCCTTCCTCTCATCTTCGGAAACATCTTCCAGTTCGAGAAGTTTCTGGTATAAACACATTACATTATATTACAATATAATTGTATTATTATTTCGTACATCAAAAATTTGCAGATTTAAGATGGCTTATTAAAAAAAAAAAACAAGTAATTACCTGATCTGATGCTTTTCTCAATTGCTTCTCCCTTTCGTACTGTGTAACAAGTTGCTCATTATCTTCTCTTAATAGCTCTAGTTCGACTTCACGCTCCTGATTCTCAGTATATGATATATCCAGACATTCTAACACATTGACTAGCAGAGGCATCAAGTCTTTTACTACATCCTCGTCGTATTTTGCTATCATCTTCTCGAACTCTTGATAGATGCTGCCTGCCAGAGACTGTACTTTCTCTGACATGACAACATGGCTATCCTCGTGCGTGCCGTAGACCGTTTCTTGATCCATTTTGACCAGTGTTTTGTATATATATTTATATATATATCTATCTATATACCTGTAACAATAGAAGAAGATAATATTATAATATCATAACAACACATTTGTGCAATGGGTTAAAGAAGTAAATTCATCACTATTAGCTCAGTTTCATGTATGCTGGTAAGATTCAGTACTTAATGTTTTGTTTAAGTTCTATAGACATATGTTAGCAGCATCTAAATAATTTAATCAAGTTCTATAAGTAAATTTTATAAAGTGCTACAAATTTTGTCAACAAAATGTCAGCAGAAATTTACTAAAATTTGCTAACAGAATACGACAGTAGACTACAGAAGCAACATCTTCTGTTTTGTAATTATTTAAAATGAAATTTTAAAATAAAATTTTACTTCTGCTGGCAGTTTGCTGTCAGATTATGTCATTAAACTTTGACAGGACACAAGCCTAATATGATTGTAGTTGATGACAATCTGTTCAACTATGTACATTCTGTTGAAATCTGTGAGCAAAGCAGCATCTGTCATTTTATAACATTTAAATAGAATCATTTAAATGATTACAGGATGACAGATTCTACTCAGTTTTTATAGTCCATCTGTCATCATTGTATCAACAGGTTTTACCATATACACATATCTTTGCTAATATTCTGTAAATACAAAACTTGTAGCGGATACTTTGCAAAATTGTTTTGACGTTACAATTTTTTTGATAGAGTTAACTATCTGGAAGTATACAAGCAATTTTTTTAGTAGTTAAACACCAAGCCACTACTATGTCTTCTTATTTGCCAGTAGATTCAAGCAGAATATTACGGCAGATTGATATCTTGTGTTTTGCCAGCTTGTCAATATAATCTGACAGCAGATTGCCAGCAGAAACCATAGCATTCTGTAGTCAAATAGAATCGTGTCATTCTGTAATCACTTAAATTGAATATATCTCATTTAAAAGAGTCTGCTTGGTTTCCGCCGGCAATCTACTGACAGATCACGTTGGCAAAACACGCTTAATTGATGCCAATCTACCGCAATATTCTGCTCGAGTCTACTGGCAAATTGTTAACATGCTGCTAACATTTTAATTTCAAGGAAAAAAAGATAATTTCAATATCCTAAGACACCTCGCAACATCCGGTCAAACAGAAACAGCGTGAGATAGAAGAACAATAATTGTCACTACTCAACTCTTTGGACTCGGTACAGTTACGTTGCACTTTTCACAGCCAGTTAAATGGATCCCGGGCCACGGGACGTCGTCGGGGGCGTTAAAGGGCGCAGAGGGGCGCGCGTCTCCGAGCGTGGACCATGAAGAGCGTCGGTCGGCGCGCCGTCCATCCGCCGGACCTGCGAGGGGCGGCTCGGCAGCGGTGATCCACCGTGATCGACGTTGACGTTCGTCGTCGTCGGCGGGCCGGACGTCAGGCGCATAACTCTCCGCTTATAACCTCCTGCGTGCGACTCCGTCGGTGATGGTGTCGCGCGGGGTACGCGGGCGGCGGACGCGCTTGAGCTCGAGCAGCAGCCTCGTGTCGTTGTTTCGCTGCGCGAGGATCGACGGACGGCGACTCGACGTGCGGTGGCTCATTGCATATTATCTGCGCGTCACCGTCTCCTCTTTCTCGCTCTCTCTCTCTCTCTCTCTCTCTTTCTCCCGTCGCGCGACACTCGTCGAGGTATACACTATGTCACTATCCGTGGAACGTGGACTCACCTCGCGTCCACCTTGGTCTACCTCGTGCGCCACTCGCGAGCCGTACGCGCGCACGTACGGGGGACGAACGGACGGACGAGCGGACGGGACCGATGGCCAAACGATCGGCCAAGTGACGTTTCGCAACCACCGCCGCGGTGGAGGTCACGCTTTTTTCTTCCTCTTCCTTCCCTCGGGTTCTTCCTTCGCGAACACTCGGCGTGACAGTCGCCCGACACGGCGGGCGAGATGTCTCTTCAAGTCTCTTGGCACTCACACTCCTGTCTGCTCACCTGTCTGTCTCTCTCTCTCTCTTTCCGCGCAATCAACGCGGAATTCGGAGCAATTCGGGAGCGCGACTGTCAATTGACGATGACACGCGGCCTTAAGTCGCGCGAATTCTCTTGGCCGTTTTTCACCCAGCCAGCGATCCGTAGTCCCCTTCGACCCCAATTGCAACGTGTTCGGAAATAGATGCGCGACATCCCCGTCCGCGACGATCACGACGTTGCCTTCGCCTACTCTCGGTTCACTTCCGTTAGGTGGCCGTGGCGTCATTCGACGGCTGCCATCGCGGCGCTCGGACAGACGGGTGACAGCGCGCCTTATCATTGACCGACGCGAATCTACGTGGCACAGCTGGGCGCAACCACGATGTCCACGATCGACGCCGTCGCACTGAGAGATCTATATCGATCAAAAATTTTGCCATGCATATATATGAGCAAATTAAAAAAAAAAACAGGAATGATTATTTTTGATGAATCCGCTAATATTGCTTGAAAAATTGCCACAAAACACGCGAGTTCAATGAATTGCAATTGATCAATCATATTCGATTATTCTTCTCATATTCGACTGTGATTAGTCAATTTTTTATGGCTTACGATTTACTACTTTTTGTAGACGGCCCTTAAAAAGCTCCCTATACAATAATTAATAAATGAGATAAAGGAAAGTGGTCTTATATTATACATACATCGTATAAGCGTTAAAAGAAAAAGATCATGTTACTGTATTAAACAAATTACACTGACTCTATACATTACATGAAATTAAATATTATCATCTGTCACCTTATTACATTATTATATAATTATGTAATATCAACATGAACTTATATACCTAAAGCAGTTCATACAATTTAAAACAGAGCTGATTTATAATTCTAGGCTATTAATTTGAAGTACATCGGTATTTATGCTTATTGCCTTTCTTTTTCTTGCTGGAGATAAAAACAGAAACCGTAGGTAAACACATATTTCAAAATCAATATCCAGCATTACAAATCTTGAACAGCACTGGTCTAAAGTATAACAGCAATACGATAATTACAATGTAGAGAACAAAATATTAATTAGTAACGTCCGCGAAATCCGCCACCGCCGTTCCAGTTTCCACCCCGACCATATCCCCTATTGTTGTTGTAGCCTCCTCTGTAACCACCGCCGCGGTGACCGCCCCTGAAACCGCTACCCTCGCCGTAGGACTCGTTATTCGAGGTCGGACCGTGGTAACCGCCGCTTCCTCGCATTATTTTCGGAGGATTGTTATAATTGGAGCGATAAATCGGTACGTGTTCCCTCTTTCGCGGTTGGAAACCACCGCCGGTTATCGGTTCCAGCTCGTGACGACAAGCGTTCATGCTGCATAACGCCTTAATCACGCTCAACACCTGCCGGGAAAAAAAGACAATTTTTTTATCAGCATTATCGAGATATTATAATGTACCAAATATTGCAGAAAAAGGGAAGAGAGAACTATTATATTGTACAATAAAAAAAAAGATGTTAGATTAGTGGCAAAAGATTTCATATCTGCCAAATGGTTTTATACAAAAATAGTAGCAAAGTCAAAGCAAAATCGCTGACTTCAATACACTTTTCTCCAATTAAAAAAGGTGATTTTATTTAGGTGTCAGTTAATATTCAATATAACTATGTGATTTTACATACTCTAGCGGAGGGGGGGGGG